AGTGACTACTGCAACATGTGAATATCCTCTTCTTGGCCTTCCAGGAAAAACTGCACTAACATCTTGTTCCCTCCTCTTGGGGAAGACACTCCCAAATTTCTTAACACCACTAGATGTACCGCCTTCCTTGGCTAGACGCCCTTCACGGATTCCCTCTTTAAGTCGCATGCCCATGTTCACCATCTCAGTGAAGTCACTAGGCGCACTTGGAATCATTCTCTCATAGTAGAAGGAACCTAATGTTTTCAGAAAAATCTTTGTGATCTCTTTTTCTTCGAGGGGAGGATAGATTTGAGCAGCAATATCATGCCACCTTTGGGTATACTCTTTAAAATATTCTCTATCCTTCAGGACATAGCTCGGAGTTGATCTCGGTCCGGGGCCATGTCAATATTATACTTGTGTTGACAAACAAAAGCATCACTGAGGTCATTGAAGTTGCGAATTCGGGTGCTATCCAAACCCATGTACCATTTCAGGGCGACACCAGTTAAGTTGTCCTGGAAGTAATGAATTAATAGCTTGTGATCATCAAAGTAGGTGGACATCTTCCTCATATACATGGTCAAGTGACTTTGCAGACATGAGTCACCTTTGTACTTTTCAAAGTTTGGCACTTTGAACTTAGCTGGAATTTTCACGTTTGGGACCAAACATAAGTCATGAGCATTTTTCCCGAACAAGTCTTTCCCTTTAAGTGCTCTAATTTCCCTCTGCAATTCTTGAAATTGGTCTTGGAACTCCTCCATCCTATCGAAGATTCCTAAACTTTTAGCAGGTTCAACATGATAAATGGGTTCGTTTGTATATGGAATAGTGTGAACCACGGGAGCAACAGTAGTCATTACAGGTTGAGGGAAAGATACCATAGGCTGGATCACAAGTTGCATAGTAGTCATCTCAGGTTGATGAAAAGATACAATAGGTTGAATCATGGGTTGCACAGCAGGCTGGTACCCTTCTGGTGTGAAATTGTAAGGCATTCCCCATGGAAAACATTTTGACATTTGATGTTGCGGAGGGTTGACTTGAGCCAAAGAGGCTGGAGCAGTGACGATCTCGGAAACCACAGTAGTTTGAGCTTGAGTTTCAATGGCCTAAGTCGATGGTTGATTCTGAGCAGCCATCAAGCTTTCCACTAAAGCGGTCAACTTTTCCATTCCAGTACTAAGAGTGGTTACCTCCTCGTGAAGCTCATGGTTTTATTGCTCTAGATCTTCCATTCTCTTTCGATGATTGGCTCGAGTATTATACTAGTAAAACAGCTTGACGATCTATCAAAGTGGAAAAAGAAGCAAGAAAAAGACTCTAGAAAACATGTAAGATTGAATGTTGAATGATGTTGATATGCAATGAAAATGATTTTTTATTTTGATAGTTTTTCAAGGAACTTTAAAACTTGATAACTTTGCAAACATCAATGGTAAAGAACTTTGGAACAGCAAAACTCATTTCATTAATAAAAGGCAAAAAATTATAACTTTGGAACATAAAGCCCTTTAAAGGGTTTTACAAAATGGAATAATTAATAAAACTAGGGACTATGATCACTCATAATCATCATCGGACGAAGGACCAAATGCTACTTGTAAATTGAGCTTCCTAATCTTCTTTTCATAGAAGTCTTCCATCTCTGTTTTCTCGGCTACCAGCTGATCAACAACTTTATTCCATGGATTAGGAACATGAGTAACGCCTATCAAATCTTCCTTCTTTCTCTTCTTTTCCTTAGCATATTTCTTGAGCAATGCATCTTTCTGACGAAGCTCCTCATCACGATCAATAAACCAACCATCTTGAATAAATAACATATCCTTCTTCTCCTTCAGTTGTCTAGTCAGGACCCTGTTTTCGTATTTTGACATACTATACTTTTCCTTCCAAGCATCTCTTTCAGACTCCATTCTAGCCAGATTTTTCTGATACTCTTTCATGTTCTCAATAGGAATGATAGTAGATGATGATGTAGCAACATGGAATAAAGGTTTCTCGGGATAATAAGGCATTTTGATAACACAAGCCCTAGAAAGAACACATTGAAGGTAAGGATCCAAAGAAATAACACCTCTCTGCCCTAACATGTCTCTTTCCTTTCTATAGACGTGTCGCCGAGCCCTTTCAATATCCTCCTTAGCTGATTTATGATCCTTTCTTTCTTGGAGAAAGAAACCACTCAACTGAATGTTATTTGGCTTGTCCTTCATAGGGTATCCAAATTGGCGGCACGCAAGAACAGGATTGTAGTTAATCCCCCCCTCGTACCAAGAAGAGGCACGTCAGGAAAAACACCATAACTAATAATGATCCTCACATCATAATAAGCTTGATTGTACCAATCAATGTCGGAATGAGTAAGAGCCATAGTTTTTGGCGCCCATCGTGGCTCCTTCTTGAGATCCCAAAAAACATCATACCCAGGTAAATGGGAAACATACCACTGGTATAACAATGGTGTACAACAGATAATCATCCCATCTTGGTAGGAATTTTGAAGATGGATGGAATAGAAGGTATATCCTGGCAGTGTAGGAACTAGATTTCCAATCAAAAAGATTCTAATGGTGTTGATATCCAAGAACTTATCGATGTTAGGGAACAAGAACAACCCATAAGCAAGCAAGGCAAAGACCGCTTCAAAGGCGACAATATCCTTTATCTCGGCAAAGTGACGAGCTTTCTTCAACAAAAACTGGGTAGGTAAGCCTCAGATTCCTCCCTTAGTAGTCATGTTATCTTCTATCTCAAACTTCCTCAAATGGGTAACCGTTGCTATCTCATGAGATTTGGGTTCCCCTTCTAAACCGAAGAAAGGAACACAGTTGATGATTGGAAAACCAAGTATATAAGAATACTCTTACAAAGTGGGCATCAACTGGTAATCAGGAAAAGTGAAGCATCGATACAACGGATCATAGAACTGGACCAACGTAGTAAGGATACCCTCCTTCATCTTGTGCTTCATAAGAGGGATCATAGATCCATATTTATTTCAGAAGTTCGTAAGGTTCTCAATCTTGGGAATCAAACTCTTCAACTCTTCAATCTCAGAATCCTTGAAACTGTAACTCCGTGTGTTTCTTTTTCCAAAATCCATAGTAAAAGTACCTGAGATATCTGCAAAAATCATTCTTAAGTTCCTTGAAAAACATGTTTAAATAATACTTATGAATTCATGAATGAATGAATGGTAATGCAACAATTACACATAAGTTCACAAACATGGGGGTTCAAAAGTTCAACGCTACGAGCATGGAGTCAAAGATAAATCCCACCCCCGAGTTATGTACTAAAGGTTTAATCACACCTGTAAAGCAAGGTTCTAAAGGTTCCCAGAGTCTACGATCCTCCTTCAGATATTACCAATGTCTAGATTACTCGGTAATTAAATATTCTTAAGAGAAACTCGTCTAAGTGTAGTATCACGTGGCAACTACTTCTGGATTACTCCATTATAGTCTCCGCATTACACCTAAGAGGCCAAGATGACTTAAGGGTTCTATGGTTCTCAGCTTCTCTGGCTCCCAGGTTGAAAGCAATAACGACTTCCCGATTACTCGATAAATAAATACTACAGTCAAAGGGGCTTCCAATGAGTGGTGGATTTCATGCCTCCTTCTTCGGGATTACTCCCTCAAAGTTAACATTACTATATCGCCCGTCCTATTCCTAAGTGTAACTTAGTCCTGGTATATGACTTGTCATTTGTAAATATCATCAACACCCAAATAATAAAAACAGATACGACAAATTAGGCTTAACCCACTTAGGGATGGACCAGCAAGAGGTCAATTTGTCCCTAGCAGAGTCGCCAATTCTGTAGCGATAAAAATGTAGCAGGGTAAATCGGAGATTGAGCTATTAATTAACTCGACTCACAAAATCAAGAATCGCCATCGCGCTTTATTATTTCCAAGGGAAAGGAAAAAGAGAGAAATAAAACCCTTAAATATGCAATGTAAAATAATACTTAAAAGTAATGAAAATACAATGCATTTTTTGAAAAAGATCGATGGCTCAGGGGTTGGTTATGCAATGGGAAGGTATTAGCACCCAATGCATTTGCGGTACTCCGCATGAACCTTTTTGAAATATCTGTTTTTGGTTAAAAATTGTTTGTTTGGTTAAAATGGATGTGAATGAGATTTTGAAGATACAACGACCTAGTATCGAAGTTTTGACTTAAAAGGTGTGAGTTTTAAAATTGACTTTTTTAGGAAAATTAACTTAAGTTTAGCAGAAGAGTAAAATCAAAATGAATGAAGGGATTTGCACAATTGTGTAACATGTTTTTGATGACATGAAGTCAACGAGGTTAAAACATTTCCCTTGGAATTGAGACGGACGAAAGGTATAAAGATTAAACAATCGAGAATAAAGTTAATTATAGCGATAACAAAAATTTAATAAGAGATTAATTTATAAGTATGTATTTTTAACAATTAAATAAATAAATAAATTAAATAAAGACTAAATTATAATAGCATGTATTTTGAACAATTAAATAAAATAACAAAAATTAAGTAAAAGACTAATTTGATAATATGTTTTTTGTATTTTTATGATAAGGGATGATTATATATATAAAATGAACTAACTAATATTTATAGAATAAAATATGGGGAGATAATACTATAAGAACTAAAAAATGGGATAAAATTCCCCAACAGGGGTTGAACTTGAGTCTCCCTGTTTGCAGAATACAGGCCTTGCCACTAAGCTAGTTTATTTATCTGTTATAACTATGTTTTTATTAAAAAATAAGGTAAATATGGTAATTGGATTGGGCCAAAAGGCCCAATGGGCTGACCCGGTTAAAAAAAGAACAAGGAAAAGTTTTGTGACCCTAATACAAAGCAAAAGGCGATGTTTGGTTGTTGTCTTGGGAAGGGAAATATCAGATTATTATTATTATTTGCAATATAATTCAATTAAAAGGAACATTGAAACGGGAAAAAGGAAAGAAATCAACGATCCTATCTGTCCCTCATTTACCATCACCATTACCAACGATTCCTCTCTGCTTCATCTCTATTGTACAAAACACAACAACAACTCCGCCACATAATGGCCATTTTTTCAATGATAATATTTCTATTTATCTCTCTTACTAGGTTATCAGGACTTCCTTGAGTATATCCAATGTTAACCATTATTGGAGCCGCGTACATTTGGTCGGATAATCTGCATGTTTGTGGGCTGGTATCCTCAACACTACCATCCATTGTTATTGGTGGTTTTCCAATTCTGAAATCCAAAAACCTTATATAGATATACGGATATCTAGTAGCTTGAATTCGAACATTAGCGAAAACAATTCTCTTGATATCAGTTTGAAAAAAATAGTTTAAATAATCCAAATGTTGTTTCACCAATCCTCTAACCTTGCGGAATTCGGGAACAAGTTGAAACTTGTCGACAACAGTTTTCACCAGAGCCATTAGAGACTCTTTATCCATGGTAGGATGAGAAAAGGAATTTCCCTCGGGTGAAGAACTTCGGGGACACGATTCTGGGTAACCACTAGCTCTAATGAAGTCTCTGTTATGGCGGTGGCGAGCGGTGGAAGTATGGTGGTGGTGGTAAAGTGTGTTTGTTGGCGGAGGCATCAGTTTGTTGTGTAGAAGGAGAATCAGAGGGAGTTGTATGGTGGATCGATGGAGATGAGTGAGGCAAAGCTATTTTACGAAGGGAGTATTACAGTTTAATAGTTGGAGAGATGGAGGGTATATGTTGTACAGAGGGGGGGATTTGAGATGAAGTGGTGGCTGGTGAGAGCAGAACAGGAAGTGATCAATGATGATGGATGTGTTTGTGGTGTTGTTTTTGGTTGATGACTTGTCGAGCAATGGCTATTAGGTTACCACTGTCTGTACACATGTAATCCATTACCCCCTTCTAGAAGAGGTTGAGAAGTATGTATGGTGGTTTGGGTTATTTGAAGGTTGAATAAACATATAATTCTCTAATTTCTATTGTTTCTATTATTTTTAATCCTGTTTTTCTTATTTATTATTATTATTCTAAACATATTTAAATGTCCATATATTGCAGCAACTCAAAAATACAGCAAAGAAATAAGATAAATCAAAACATCGTATGACAAAAAAATGGTGCAAAGAAGATCCAAATTGATGGATATATGAGAAAGTTATGCAGAAGTAAATGGGCAGAAGAAATACCTATTGGAGTCTCTCCGATGGAGCTTTAAAAACAGTAAGTTCTCCCTCCCTCTCTTGTTGATGCTCAAACTCCTTTGACTCTGATTATTTGCTGTTAAAACTTGAACAAACTTCTCCTCTATTTTTCTGTTTTTTCCCCTCCTTGAGTTTTTTTGTGTCTTTTTCTGTCCAAGATGGCTTTTATAGTGAAATAACAAGGCATTTAGAGGGGAAACAGTAGGATATTTGAATTGTTTTGACAAACTATTTTGATGCCTTCTTCGTGCAGTTTTTCTTTAGTCATTTTGATGTAATTTTTGGGCTGTTATGATGCAGGGCAGCAAGCTGTAGCAAATTGGTTTGTGCTAATTTATAGCAGTTTGTTTGTAGTTTTTTGGCAGCATTTGAACCATTGCAGGTTGTTGTTTTTTTAGACTGGTTTGTAGCATATTCTGGCAGCATTTGGGACTGTTTTGCTGCTATTTTGGACAGCAAAATACCACAAAAATTGGACTTTTATTTGTTGAAACAAGGCTGGAAAATATGGGCAGAATTGGGAACAAGATTTGAAGCCTTGGAATTAATATCAATAGGTCTAGAATTTATTTCTTATGTAACATAAATAGGAACTTGTCTTGAATGTAATTTCTCGATTCCTTTGCAATTGTAAACATTTTGAATCCTTATTTGCTTTGAATCTTGATATTTATCTTGATGAAATTCAAAATATTCCATTTGAACTTGGAAAATAATTGATTAATATTTGAATGAATTGTTGAATGATGAATAAACAATAATGAAAGCGTTAAGACTTCAATCTTGCATTTTGTAATAGAGATCCAAATAAATTTCATGAATTGATCTTGTAATAAAATTGTAAACATCATGTATTTATTTTTGTGATGAATGATTATTTGAATCAAATTTCTTTTTCCAATACCTTCTTGAATAAATGCCTCATGTGAATCCAAATGGCCATGGTGTGAATCCATCAAAATAATCACACAAAAATAATCTTGAATAAATGTTTAATGTGATGAACGATTATTCTTGAAGGAGCCCTTTTAATAACTTCTATTTAGTTAATACTTGAATTCACATGATGAAAATTCCAAGTATGCTAAATAAATTCTTCCAAAGCAATCTTGAATTCAATCACCCCACTCCGACGAAATTCAACCCCACGTCGTGTAAGTATAAGAAATCGAACCATGCTTAAAAGCTTCGAGTGGTCACTAGAAGAGGGATTTGAGGCGAAATGTTATCGCATTGAGAAATTGGCATAGGGAACTGAACTTAGAGATTTAGAAACTCTTAAATCGTGACGAACATACCATAAAGTCCTCTCATGGCTTTATAAACATAATTCGTCTTCAACTTTTAAAGAAACTTTGCAGATGACTTTCGGTCGAAGTGCTCGGAATTTCCTTGCATAGCCTGGTCTTTTCTTGTATTTCAAGGCAGGGTAAAACACACGTGAACCAGTGATCATGGAGCCTTGACTATTTTTATGAAGAATTTCGGAGACGCTTGAGGCCACTTATTGAACAGAGCATGAAAATAAACACACGATTCTTTAAAAGTTCCCCAAAACAAGCTATCATACTTGAGACATCCGTGATCAAAATGATCCTGAATGATGTTCGAGACTCCATGATCTAAGATTATAAGTTATGCCTTGATAAATCAGTCTTCGAGAATCAACGATCAGTCGTACTTCTGGCTTGAGAGACTCTAAACCCTAATTGAGGCGTGACGCCTGATGCTCTTGATTTGAACCTGTTCCTGCACATGAAATCAAATAAACAAAAAACATACACTTCGTGTTTGATTAGAATTTAGTCATGCATAAGATAAAATGTTCACGACATTTGATAATCTATACACAAGCAATGCTCGAAGGTGAGAAGTTCGAAACAACCATATTTTGTGACCTTGATGTATATAAAGAAAATGAAAAAAATGAAGATGGGATCTTAGGTCAAAAATTGGGGTATGACAACTTCGACATAACAGAAGGAAGTAACATTGTTGATCACGACGTCTTCCTCTCCACCAATGATGATGACAAATCAGATGTAGAATCCTTTGGAGGGCCATCGAGATCGATGACATCATGGTGGTCATCCACAATCAACCGTGGGTCCTCTTTAGGAATTCCCCCATTGTCGTTCTTGGGTCCACCATTCTCGAACATAGAGGCATTGTCAACCAGCTTAGTAACACTCAGTTTGAGTTCTTCTTTCCCTTGGATGACGGCATGAAGAGTTTCCATGAGTTGATTCATTCGATCACCCATGGTGTCCATGTCTTTGAGGATGGAGGCTTGGTTCTGCTCAATCTTCTCCATAATCCTCAACTTGTTGGCTCGAGTGCGATAAGTATGTAAGGAAGTCATCTTGTAGATTCTGATAATAAGAGGCAAAACCATCAGATAAGAATCCCAGCCAGAAAACCTGCAATTCATGAAATGCATGATATGAATGATGCATGAAATGATTGTCCATTCCGGTTTTCCACAGCTTAATTAACGTCAGTAATAATCGAGCAACATGATAATAAGAACGACCATATAAAGAAAATATCCAGAAAATAGGAGAAATTCATGTGGAGTTTAATACAAGAAAGTTGCGAAAGTATATGAGCGGAACTGTTAAGTAAAATTTTCTCTTCTGATCCTCTTGAGAACATCATTGTTGCTTGACGTTACTGACGGAAACCATAACTTCGCGAGATACCCCAGAATGGACATGCACATGCAAGGTTAGTATATAGTTTCATTTTTCTAACATTTCTTTTTGAAAAGTAAACATGCTATGATGTAAGTGCAAATGATCACGGGATTACTACTTCCATGATATTGGTTTCTGCTATACTGTTTGTGCATAGTCTGCTAGCACCAGGATCATAGGTTTGGAACATAACCAAAAGAACCTCATGAACACTAGATTCGGGACTCAGAAAATAAATCTGAGAACCTCCTAGTCATCAACATAAATCCAGAACATAATCATTAGAACCAATAGTGACCATCTGAACATAGTCACCAATTGTACTTGTGATAATAATTCCCCCCCACTCACGGGTGAAAACTAGGTCAAGGTAAGGTCATGGATAATAGAATCATAGGTCACCTGAAAGTATTATCATCATGTACATTTGTGATGCTGACAATACCCCACTTGAACCTCAACTAATTGTGGCTTCATGAACGGATGGTGCCAGGGCATACGTCTATCGTCCGTCATGACTCTCCACTCTATTCCTAGTGTTCCTAGTGGTATACAACTCAGGCCTGGGTATTGGGCCTTTTACCTCATAGTAACACCCACCCAATCAAGAAGTAGATCCAATACAGTATTAGTATATGGAAAACAGTACAATGCAATGCATACATATGCTCAGGTAAACATGTATGGATGAATAAACTGAAAGCATAAAAATAAACACTCAAAGAAAGGAAATATGAGCTAGGAGAGACTCCGGGATGGACCAACAATTGGTCAATATGTCCCCAGTGAAGTCGCCAACTGAAACAATCAGCTAAAAATCATCAAACAATAAAGTCACCATCGAACGTCTTTTATATCACATGGAGGGAAAGGTAAACATCAAGAAAACCTGGGAATGGAGAAGTCACAGTCTTGTGACCGAGAGATCGGGTAAGGGAGTCTCTTACGCGAGGGGAAGGTATTAGCACCCCACACGCCCGTAGTACTCTATAATATCCACTCTTGTCATATATCTTATGGGTGTGTTTAATATATGCTTATTGTTTACTACTGAGGAGGAATGCATGCAAAAGAAAAGAGAAAAGAATGTATGGGAAATAAAGTTATGCTTGCTTGGGCCCTACCCCAATGCCTGCGTATCCTTTTTGAGGAATCAGAGCTACCGTAGTTCGGATAACATGTTTTTGTTTATTTTGTGTTTTTTATGAACAATGTTAATTCCACCTTCTGCCGCAGCTCGACCTTTAGAGACTCACGCGTTGGCACAAAAGAAAATTAATCACGTCCATGCTGAAAATGGTTTCGAGTTACGCCCTCGAGGCAAGATGCCACATTTGATTGGTTTGTATTTTGTCACCTTGAAAAAGGGTTTAGGTATGATTAGCATGTTTTATGGTTTGTTAAGGAAAAGATTTAGTTTTAAATGAAAGGATGCAAAAAGGGAAGAAAAGAGACTAAGGGAGACTAGCCTATTTCTAACCTAATGTTATCATACAATGGTATCCCTACGTCAAGGATGAAAGGGAAATCTCTATCTAATGTTAGCATGTATGGTTCACAACCTAAGGTCTAACTTGCTTCCAAAAGGAGCAAGCGCATCCTAAGGGAACATGGTATGGAAAGCGAGTAAATAAACAAGCTTGAAAGAGCACACACATAAAATGGTAAGGAAAAGAATTGAAATGCTTTATCCAAGGGGAGCGTATCACCTGAGACAAACAAGTGGGAGTGAGATGAAAAAACAAAAATATGATGTCCAAAGCGACTGAACACCTAACCAAGATATAGGAGATCGAGGTAGGCGACAAAAGGCAATATGTACGATCATGGAGTATCAACATCGGCTAATGCAAACTCCTGACAAAGCGTGGGGGTTCGATTGCAGAACCCTTCCCTACTTGACAACTCGATACAAAAGAGTAGGCACAACTCCGAAGCTTCATGGTGCGTCACGAGCTAAGGATGACACAGACGAAATTGCAAGGGTTGGTTGCGAACCCTCCCCGCTTGCCTCTTTTTGAGGACTTCAATAAGGGATGGGGGAATAATGCGGGAATAAATGTAAACACACCTGCAAAATACCTACACAAAGGTAGGGTTTTAAACAAACCACACATAAGTAGCACACAATGGCAATCAATGCAGAATATCCCTAAACGGGTCTTTAAATAAACTAGAGGGGTTCCTGACATGATCAGCAACGGAGACCCCCGTCATACATCTCTACCCTGCTTCTCATGGGAAGGAAAGCAATAAAGCCCTAATTCTCATGATCTTTAGAAAAGCGGTAAAGAAATGCGATAAAGTGCGAAGAAGTACAAAGGTGGTAGCAACGACTACCAAAGCGATAAAATCGTCAAGAGCGGACGAAAGCAATGGAGAAGCAGGGAGTATGCGTCGAGCAAGCTTCACCAAGAAACAAAAAAAGTCAGAAATGATATCCAACTAAGATAAAAGCAAACGCGTGTTGCGAATGCAACGCGTAATCGGAAGTTCCCGCACAAAGCTCATAAAAGTATCACATGTATCGGGATAACATATAATATTATATGAATTTCTCAGGACGATGAGAAATAAGGTGTGTCGCTTTGTAAGCGAGCATAAGCCGTATACTTCGATCACATAACTACCTGTTATGTTACATGATCGAAAGCACAAAAATATACCTTGCACAATGAACAAACGCGTCAAAAATAACATGGCAAAGCGGCATGAAAATATGGATAAAAACTAAAAAAGAAAAAAAAAGTATTTTTTATTAGTTTTTATGTAAGGAAAATTCTAAAAAAAAACTAGAGGATTAATTCCTAAAATTTCTATTAAAATCTACTATTTTTTATTGCTTTTATTATATTTTTATCATGTATTTTATTGACGAAAATTAACAAAAAAAGTCATAAATCTAACAAGGAATTAGTGAACTCAGGAGGATGCTAATTTGAGTCTAGGGAGTATGGTCAACAAGTTAGGGCACTGGCCTGGTCAGAGTGAATCCCATTAGCAGTTTGTTTGAAGCTACAAAAAAAACATGTCCTTTGGGCCACAACAATGGGGATCTGGTCCACCCATTTGAACCTGGCCCATCCAATTTTCAACCTTTTTTAATTTCTCCAATAATTGATTCACTTACCAGCCTTATTCATTTTCTAATTAAAAGAAATTAAAGAAAATTAGGGAAAATGTAATGAATGAAATGGCATCGTTCCACTAGTTAGGGTTAAAGGTGTTGCGCCTCTTCAATTTCCATGATCTTCTTCTTCTTCACAAAGGCAAACGCGCCGCTCGACTTGAACCTTCTCAACATATATGTTTCCTTCTCCGATCAACTTCTAATCGTATTCCCTTTCTTTGTCTTGTTCTCATCTCTGATTATGTTCATAATCTCCGCCTAATCTCCCGATCTCGCCTCATCTCTCAATCTCTAAACAATGAAACCTAAAAGCTCCGAGATAGAATTGGACAACAGCGGAGCGTAATCTTGATGCGTGGTATTAGGGATTTCATTCAATAAACCACAAATCTTCAAACGATATCCAAATTAAAGAGAAGCGGTGAAGGAAGGTGAAGTTAAGAAGCTTACCTACCGGAGTGGTTCCGGTGACCCTTCAACAACGTCGGAATCGCAAGAAAACCAAAGGTGCAACTGGAAATTTAGGTAATAAGTTCTCAATCCCTCTCTCTTCGACTCTACGTAATCTGATTCCTCTTCTACGTCTTCTATTTCTGAGTCGTTTGCCATTTGCAAATTGAATCATATTGAAGAGCGACGAATGCTGAAACGGTGATGTTGTTATCGGATTGAAAAAGAATATGAGAAGCCTTCAGTGGATTGCGGAGACTGTTGCCATGGCGATTGCGCTGAAGGTTTATGATGTACCGAGAATTTGAAGATTGAAGCAGAAGATGAAGAAGATTGAAGACCTATGAATTTGGTAATTTTTTTTTGTTATATCGTGTACCTCCCTCTCCCTCTCCTGTTTTTTTTCCTGTTATCCCTTTTTGTTTACTGGAAGTTTGTTACGACAGTTAGAGGGTTTGGGAAAAATTATAAAACGGTTAGAGAATTTAGTTAAAATCTGTTAGAGGAAATATTATGGAGTTGGTCTGAAAACTGTTATATCAGCAGAAGATTAGTTATGGTTTGGAAGTTAGTTGGAGTTAGAATTTGTTAGGCTTCAGTTAGGAACTGAAACTTTGTTAGGCTTCAGTTAGGAACTGAAATTCTGTTAGGAATGATTGTTGAAGTTAGTTAGCTAGGCAGTCATGTTAGAGTTCTGTTATAAACAGTTAGCTGGATGTTTTGGAAGGTTGGTTAGGGGGTTTTGGAAGTTAGTTACGGTATTAGGAAGTTAGGAATTCTATTTAGTTATTTACTGCTGAGTTGTAACTTTTTCTCTCTTTTTCCGATTTTTCCTCTCAATTTCTTCTATGATCTCCCTTGAATAATCGTATCTAATTCCCCCTTTGCATCTGTGGAAATTTCTGCTATATAGTCTGTAAAATTTTGTTACAGCGTCAATCAATCTAAGCCCTTGAATTACATTAGTTTGGTACATAATTAACAGTATGGCAGTTATGAAACGGTTAGAAGTTAGGATCTATTTTGAAATTGTTAGCTAGGCTGAACCGTTTATAGTTAGTTGGGTCAAAAACTGTTAGGAAATTATTCAGGTTGGTAAGAGTTTGATGGTCGGTTCTAATGAATGTTGAACTATTTTGGGATTATTTTGCAGGGGCTGCAACTTTAACGATATTGGTGGCAAACTCATGTCTTGTGACGTTGGTGATAGGGAAACCGTGGTTACATGCACTTCGAAGTCGTTGAGTATGTCATGAAACTGTAAGCGCAATCAGAATATTTTCTTGCATGTGAGTGAAGATGCCTTGTTTTCTTCTTGGAAACATATATGTTAACATAGACTATACCAGGATATGGACTAAATTTTGATAGGGATGTGTTTTTCTCATCTTGCAGGTTTGGAAATTGATGGTGTATATGGATTCAAATAAGCACGAGTTTGGAGGATGTTGTTTTCTGTTGGAGAGGAAGTTAGCAATTAAGTTGGAGAGTTATATGGTTCTATTAGAGGTTAGTTAGGTAGTTAAATCAATTAGTTAATAATTTTTTAGATTATGACAGTTAGGAGTGACGAAAATTAGTTATTTTTTGTTTTTCTGTATAAGTCTGTTGGTTTTGTTAGAAGTTTTTGTTTCGGTTAGAGGTTGTTATAAATAGTTAGCTGGTTGTTTTGGAAGGTTAGAATAATGAGGAATTGGTGAGAAACGGATAGAAAATTATTTTCTGTTAGGACAATTATAATTCTATCTGAATGTTGGTAGATAGCATTAATTGTTTCTGATCTTTTTCCTGACGTGTTACCGCAGGGTCCACACAGACAGCAAGCTGCAATTTTTTCTGGTTTTGTTTCAACTGGTTTTGTTTCAACTCCATGATTTTTCTGTGATTAATATGCAGGGCATGGTAGGTTTCAAGTTTTGAATCAAGTTTATTGATTGACATATATTTGGTTTTGGATGCAGGGCAAGACTTGGGGTTGAGAGCAAGAACAACTCAAGACGGATTTATGGAGATCTTCTTAGGCTAAGCAAAAGTGAATGAAGGCGTATAAAATCTGATGGAGTAGTTTTAATGTAGATCTAGGTTCTTATGTTTTGCATGAACCAAGTTGTAAGGGCATTTTGTACCATAGTATGTAATGAATGTGTATTGACATGAGGTTGATGTAATGAGACTGATCTTGCAATTGTCATGACCTTTCTCAAACAAATTTAAATTCCTCTCTAATTTTTTAATGTCCATCTTGGATATGAGTTGACATAACTCGCACCTCAAGTAAAAATTTTTAGTGTTATCCCCTTCTTTTGCAATATGGACTCTTGAGCCTTTGAATCGATCCATAGAAATTGTTGAAATCATGAACCGAAAATGACTATGAGCTTTTGGTTCCACACACTTCGTAATGTTTTCCATGCCTGTTTCATTTTGATCTTTTATAAGAACTTGAACTTGAAAACATGTCATGCTTGACTATTATCACAACCATACTTCCTTGTTTGAATTCCCTATCCTCAATGCCCTTAGTTCACACGATAACTTGTACTTCAATCAATAAAGGAGATCCCTAGGACGATGAGGTTTGCTAATGAACCACACTCCATGAAAAGCTCTTGATCACCATCTATTTTAAGGAAATTAACCCTAACTTTAGTGGTAGCTTTCAATGTAAAAGGATGATCCTTAACTAGAATGCTGACAAGCTCAAGTATGATAAGATGTAAACCCTAATCCTTAGCTTCGTCTCATAAAACCTTACAACTTGATATTGAGAAGCAAAGAATAGCCTCGTACCTTGATGATGATAAAGTCCATGAAATGAAAACCTAGCTTCAAATAAATGATCGACAGAGAAATCAATTGAACAAGCTTGTGCAAAGATGATAGCCTTAAAGCCATACAACAACCCTAATTCCACAATATCATTGATCCCATGCAAAATTATAGACCATGATGCATGACATGCAAAATGACCTAATGGAAATTATATACATGAGAAAAGTGAGAGATGCCTAAGCCAAATAAAAGTAAAAAGGGTAGGACAAATTTGGGGTATTACAATGGGGAACCATGGAAATCATTTAAGACCTTTGCAACCCAAATTTCCTTGAGAAATTCAAAACCCTGGGTGTAGACCTTTTGTTTAGGAGGAGCTTTGACTAATCAACCCTTGAGTAGCTTTGAGAATTTTGAAAATTTTGTGAGTATGCCTTGAAGAAAAATGGGAGGGAAAATTTTGGGTTGCAACAACAGCCCCTGTTCAATCTTCTTAACCCTGAAGAGTTAGATTGACATGTCCGCCATTCGTGACTTGAAGGTAGAAGATGATTAAACACTTAAGTGCCCAGAAATTTGACTCGCTTGTGTAAGAAATAACACTATTGGTTGATTGTGTCGGGAATGGGCTTATAGATGCCATTTAGAGAGGTGATGCAGAGTCGTCAGAGATGGGCTTATAGATGCCATCCAAAGTAACCATTGACTTCAATTGGAAGAAGTATCAGAATAAATATACACTCGATTAATCTAAGCCAGAAGAGGTATATGCCTGTCTTCAACTGGAAGAAGTATCAGAATAAATATACACTTGATCTCTGAGCCAGAAGATATCCATGCTCGTCTTTATCTAGAAGAAGTATCAGACTAAATCTATGGTCGATTTAAACTGAGCCACAAAATGTCTTCAAATGAGAGAAGCATCAGAATAAATTTGTGCTTGATTTAATCTGAGCCAGAGAAAAATCTTCAATTGGAAGAAGTATCAGAATATATCTATGCTTGATTTAATCTGAGCCAGAAGATGTTTGTGTTCGACTTTAACTGGTAGAAGTATCACAATAAATATATGGTCGATTTAATCTGAGCCAGAAAACGTCTACGATTGTCTTTAACTGGAAGAAATATCAGAATAGATCTACGCTCAATCTAATATGAGCAAGAAGATATCCGCGCTCGTCTTTATCTGGAAGAAGTATCAAAATAAATCTATGGTCGATTTAAACTGAGACAGAAAATGTCTTCAACTAGGAGAAGTATCAGAATAAATCTATGCTTAATTTAATATGAGCCAGATAAAAGTCTTCAACTGGAAGAAGTATCAGAATAAATCTATGCTTGATTTAATTCGAGCCAGCAGATGTTTGTGCTCGACTTTAACTGGAAGAAGTATCAGAATAAATCTATGGTCGATTTAATCTGAGCCAGAAAACGTCTAAGACCGTCTTCAACTGGAAGAAGTATCAGAATAGATCTACACTCAATCTAATTTGAGCCAGAAGATATCCATGCTCGTCTTTATCTGGAAGAAGTGTCAGAATAAATCTATGGTCGATTTAAACTGAGCCAGAAAATATTTATGTTTGACTTTATCTGGAAGAAGTATCAGAATAAATCTACGCTTGATTTAATCTGAGCCATAAAATGTCTACGATGGTCTTCAACTAGAAGAAGTATCAGAATAAATCTATGCTTGATTTAAACTGAGCCAGAAGATGTCTACGATCGTCTTTATCTGGAAGAAGTATCAGAATAAATCTATGCTTGATTTTATCTGAGCCAGAAGATGCTCACGACCTTCTTTAATTGGAAGAAGTATCAGAATAAACCTATGGTTGATTTAAACTGAGCTAGCAGATGTTGTCTTTGAGGATGAACTTCTGAGGACATTGCTTTAAGTAGCCATTTATCAGATGTAGCCTTTGAGAGGATTGTCTAGTCATACAAGTAGTTGGTGATGTTGGTCTGTTGATTGATCTTTCCTGAAAGGTAAAGAGTTAGTTGTATGAAATGTCATGATGTATGAAATGAATTGCGTAACGATGTTCTCAAAATAAATGAGAGTGTGTTATATGCGTTTTGTATGCACATGTTATGACGTTTGCAAATGATGTATGAATGTGAAATGTTATTGAAGTGCATTTGTAAACTCGAGCAGCATCTTTGTCTGGGGAAAATAAATCCCTGACTGTTACTAGGGATGAAGAGTATATGTATCTTCGATCTTGTCTGGAATGTTGCCTCTGGGGATTCATGCTCTCTTGTTTGAGGAAACTCCGCTGGGGAACATTGATTTCTGCATGGGGAGAAGAATTCAAAAACATTGGTCGTTCATCGCTCTACTGAGGATTATAATTCTTATATACCCTGGCTGGGGATAAAAGAGATAGATATCCTTTCGAGGTGATGTCTGACCGAGCTTCTCATATGGATACTGACTATGTTGGAGGGAAGAAATCTGCAGAGGTTTTACAGATTTGGAGGAATAAACTCAGCTGGGGAGGAGAATTTCCATAAACTGTAATAATTGAGATTCCATAGGTGGGTGATATTGCTGGGAAAAAGATCATATTCTTTTATCCGCTGGAGTGATTTTCTGATGAGTATGATAAGACTACTTTGTGGGGATAATCCCATGGAAGTGGCTCTATGGAGATTTGTGGATAGCTTGAACGTTACCCTAACTCCAAGAGTCTTGAGCAAATGTTTTTTCCTATTTTTATGCATATATTTGTTAACAATTGATTGTATTCATATGCATATGCTTATTCAGTTTTAGTCATTGGACGTTTTTGCAAACAAAACAGAAAAAGTAAAAACAAAAATTTTGATTTGTGAATATTTATATTATATTTATAGTTTGCCTATAAACAAGAGAATTTGTACAAAAAGACAGAAATCCTAATAAGAGGAAATCGTCGTGAAATGAAAAGAGTACAAAGCGAAAACAAAACATATAGCTATGTGGGAATAATCTCGTCGAGTCCAACTCTGTTATTACCCCCATGTCTTCAAGCATCTCATCTCTTATTGTCGGAAGAAGTTGATTGAATTGATTTGTACCATTTGAACTTTGACTTTGGTAATAAAGCTTGTTGTAAGTGATCCAATAGGGACATAGTTGTACGCTTTAATCCCTAATTTTTTCCTGGACCGCCCTTTCATGTTTTCAGTCCACCAGGATACCCTTTCTTGCCCAAGCCGCCTTTTCAGGTTTTCGACTTGTTGGGTGTATAATCTTATATATATATATATATATATATATATATATATATATATATATATATATATATATATATATATATATATATATATCCATAATTTTTGCCCGAACCCTTTTGGTTTGTCGGGATGCCTTTATTTTTTCCTAGGCCAGTTAACCTAGCGGGTCATTTTTATGCGTAGTATCTTTTGGTGATGTCCGCATTCACAGGGTGCGGGAAATATTCACCATCCATGGTGGTCAATATCATAGCACCGCCGGAGAATATCTTCTTGAGTACAAATGGACCTTCGTAGGTTGGAGTCCATTTTCCCCTGGGATCACCTTGCGGTAGAATGATACGCTTTATTACCAAGTCACTAGCCTGATATACCCGATGCTAGATCTTCTTGTTGAATGCCTTGATCATGCGTTTCTGATACATCTGACTGTGACAGACAGCCGCAAGCCTCTTCTCATCAATTAGATTCAACTGATCCAACCTGGTTTGAATCCACTCGTCTTCGTCTAGGTCTGCTTCTTTCATAATTCTCAGAGAGGGAATCTGAACTTCGACAGGCAAGATAACTTGCATATCATAGACCAGAGAGAATGGGGTTGCCCCAGTTGATGTTCATGCAGAAGTACGATAGCCATGAATAGAAAATGGTAACATCTCATACCAATCTTTGTATGTCACAACCATCTTTTGTATAATCTTCTTTATGCTCTTATTGGCGGCTTCCACTACGCCATTCATTTTTGGATGGCACAGAGAAGAGTTATGGTGCTTGATCTTGAACTGTATGCAGAGCTCAGTGATCATGGTGTTGTTGAGATTGGTACCATTGTCCGTGATGATCCTCTCGGGGATGCTATACCAACAGATAAGGTTATGCT